ACAGACGAAGCCAGGCGGGCCTCGCATCTGAAAACCCAGGGCAGGTGGGCACCTTGTCTGCGGAATCCATTTTACTCAAAGGCACAGATAAGTGGCCACAGTAGCAGAATCGTTCTGATTCTCCCCCCAGCCCCCCACACACATACACCGTACGCTAACCAGGGTGCTCCTCCTCTTAGGAAGGGGATGAGCATCTCTCAAAAGGCTGAAAAATCAAGATTGGCACCTGCAAATAAGTCCTCCTCCTCCTCTTCCCCCTCCTCCCCCCCATAACGCATCTTTTTGATAGTCCAGGCACCACAAGCACCGCTGATAGTGTGGCCTGGAGGGAGGGAGGCCTCTAAACTCCACCGATATTTGATCTGGAAGAGCCAGCCGTATGGACACTTTCCAAGCTTCTCATCACCACAACAGGGGGACAAGTCTCCACTTGCTTCATGGTCTGCTGTTTTCTGCAGGAGGTATTTGAACTCAGGCCCAGAATATCCCCCCAAATCCACCCTCACATGCAAAACGGTGGAGATGCTTCTTTTTGCGCCAGTTTTCCACTTTCTACATTCCACGAAGCAGCAGCTATAGATCTGATGCACCCTGTGGCTACAAGTGAAAAACATTTAATATGACCACACCGATCCTATTACACGAAGTGATCAGCGTTCTTGACGCGCTCACTGGTAAGGTGGCACTCCAGCTCCCTTCAGCAAAATAAATGTGAGACAAAAACAAAGAATTTAAAAGTCCATTAAGCAGTTTGGGTTGCTTCCTGGTTAGGTCCATTTTATACTCTTGGCAAAATTACAGAATTGATTTGATACTGTCTCCCTCCAGTGCCAGTATATCCTATGCCAGAGGTCTCCAAACTTGGCGATTTCAAGACTTGTGGATTTCAACTCCCAGAATCCCTTGCTGGCTGGGGAAATCTGGGTGTTGAAGTCCACATATCCTACTGTTACCAAAGCTTAAGAAGGCCGGCTCTGGAGTGCTGAGAAGCTGATCCTGCTTCACCTTCCTCTGAAGCAAACTGGGAAAATGAAATCCAGGCGCACAATTTCCAAGAGAAAACACACACAAGCAGCATTACGGACACAGTTTTGAATCCTGATTTCATCTTGGATAAGAATGTAAATATTACAGATTTGTCTCCTAGTCAGCAAGTTTCTGCCCTGAATCTGAACCCCTCCCAGATCGCAAGGGGGCCAGCCCTGTACGCAACGCAAGCCAGGTCACCGCTGCCAGCAAGCGAACAGCCTGTTGCTCCCGGGAGAGAAGAGAGACCTCCAGCTTCTCTGAACCCCAACGCTTCTCCAGAACACACATCGCTCAGGAATCAATGGATCGATCAAGGTGGGCGGGCCCCGAGTGGGGCGGCTGCAGCAGTCAAACAGCTCCACTATCTATCCGGAGGGAGCCTGGCCAGCTTCAGAGCAACTTTTAGAAGTTGATGCAATGATCGAGCCGCTTCTAAAGCAAAAGCTGCAGGCCATCTTGTCAAGTTTCACTTCCCTTTTAGATTAGTTTAAGAGCAAGAGTTTCCCCTGGAGGAAGCGGTAAAATCCTGCCTGCAGAGAACAGCCCTTCCACTAAACGTGTGGAGCCGTCTCAGGGTCTGGACTCATCGAACGCTGGCTGGGGATGGGAACAGTAGTCTAGCACATCTGCAGGTCATCGGCCCACCCCAGTTGGCAGGCGGGAGAATGAAGCCTGGAAGGAAGAGCAAGAACCACGCCACGCCTGAAGACATTCTCAAAATGTCTTCCAGCAACGAACGATAGATTTTGCATCAGGAGGAGGACCAGAAAGTTCTAGCAAAGTTGTAAAGGAACGGCAGGCTTTTCCTGCGCATCCTGTATCTGCCCAAGCTTCCTCTTCTTTCAACCAAAATAAATGTGGCATCACATATTATGCATCCCCTCGGAAGAAACCGACTTCAAGGAAACTTCTCAGAGTTTAATCGCATGCTAACCTATGTTGACTAAGGAATACTTTAGACCAGGGGTATCCAGCCTTGGCAATTTTAAGACTTGTGGACTCCAACTCCCAGAATCCCCCTACTCTCCTGAGATATTGTACTATACTCAATGTATCTGGACAATGCAACCCCCCCCCCCCCAAAAAAATTTAAAAGAAATCTTAAATTGGTTTGGGATGCATTTTGTTAAAGACAATTTAGACAAGAATGCAGAGTGCTGGTGGCATGAGGGCCACTTTTAATTCAACAGGAAGAGAGGCTAGAACACAAGGCTTCACCACACAGGAACCCCATTTACATTAGCTGAGTAATTAACATTTTCGTCCATGCCACACAGGAATCGCCCCAACGTTTAGAAAGCTCACATGCTGATATTCTATCTATATCCCTAGCACAACAATATGCCAGGAGAGCTTAAAACCCCCACAAAATGTCAGAGAACATGAAGCCATTTGCTCAAGACTGGTTACTAAAAGAATTCATGCTTGCTTAACGCCCTTCAACATCCAGTCTGAGCAATTTTTCTTGTAACTCTCTTCATTTCCTGATAATTTCTGGACACTCAGCATTCAGCACCGAGACATTTCAGCAAGAACCAAAGGAACACCCTTTCCTTGAGCCAACTGTTCTCTTTCATCTTGGCTGATGGGAAGTTCAGGCCAGCCTTTTTGGGAAGCCACCACGCTCTGAGGAAGCAGAAATGGCAGCAGCTGTGCTGGGGACTTCCCTCCCTGAAGGGTCAGCTGAGAAGACGCCCAGAGGCAAAAGGTTCTTTTGGGGTAGCTCAGCACAAGGCAAGGCGGGGCAGCCCGGTGTTCCTGCTACAGGCCAAGTCAAAACACAGGGCATGAGTGCAACGTGAGAACCCAGTCAACAGAGGAGCTGAACTACTTGGCACAACAATCAAGTCCCCTCTCCGAAGTTTCCAAACTAGTTCTCGGTCAGTTGGACCTATTGCATTGAGTGTCACCTTTTACTCCTCTCCGTCGGTGCTTTGGCTGCGTTATCTTTTCAAGGCGATCACAGTTGGGTACATCTACTGTTCACTATTTGGATTGAAATAAATGACATGCAGACTGAAATTGCTCAAGTAAGCCTGGAACCAAAACAATAAACATCTTCCACGTTTTCACCCCAAAACAAGTTCTGGATCAGCAAAGCTAAATGACCCTGCTAAGACTCCGCTTTTGTGTATCAACCAAGCCAAATGTTACTTCCCAATGCTTTGGGCTTCAGCCCTGGTAGGCCTGAGGCGGCACCCCAACGATAAATTATTGGAGCCCATAGCAAAAAAGATCTACAGGGTGCCAGGTGGCCGATGGCTTCTACTGCTAGGGGGCTCAATACAATGATTGGAAATAAGTACAACCAAGAACGGAAGACCAAAGGTGTAAAATCTGCATATAAAAAGCTCGAGCAATAAGCCCTGGCTATCTAGCAGAAGAAGAAGAAAAAAATAATTTTACTTTAAGTAAACAGCATAAATTGCACACAGGTGGTTCAAAGATTAGTCAAGGGTGTTTCTACTCTCTTATCACATATAGTAATCATTACTCCTGGCCATGAAAACGCTCTCCCTTTTACCAGGGCAGTTGTAATTTCTTAGAGGGCTTTTGTGACTCTGTGTCACCGTGGCACCAAAGGTGGCACCGGCCTAGTTATGGCCGAGCGCTCACAGATGCTTTGGCGAAACTGTTGCTTTAGGAACCGAAGGTGATCAAGGAATGCGATAAAGGCCCCTGTGACTCAGGTGGAGGCTGCCCCCTCCTAAGCAGCCCCCAAAGAAGAGGGGGGTCCCGCAGGAAAGGCCCCCAGCCGTCGACGGAGCCCTTCCGAAGCCCACCCAGAGGAGCCCCCAGGCGGCTCAGGTTCATTTCCCAGCAAAGGCGCTTGTCAAACACCCGCCGGACCCCGAAGAGGGGTGGGGGGGTGGGGGGGTGCACGCCAGTCTCTGCCACCCTCCCCAAAGCCCCCCTTGCACGGAGGAGGCGGCGGGGGGGGGCTTCTTCCCGTTGGCAGAGCAGCCAGGAGGGGGCGCACCGCCTGCCAGGGGCCAAGGAGGCAGCCCCCCCCCTCCCGGGCCAAGAGGGGCTTTCACAGGCCCAGACCGGCCACCAGAGCGGGTGGGGGGCTGCTGGAGGCCCCCCCGACCTCTCACCCCTTTCCGGAGGGGAGGGGGCACCGGGGCTCTCCAGTGGCCCCATCCTGAGGGAAGGAGGAGGGGGGGCTACGGGAGCCCCCCCCCCGGGCCGCCCCCGGCGGGGGGGTCCAGGGGGGGGGGGCGGCGGGGCGGGGGCGCAGGGACCCCCGTCGGGGAGGGCGGGGCCGCTGGACGGCGGAGGCTCCCAGGCCAGCGGAAACGAGGGAGGCAGGGCCGCCCCCCCCCGCCCGCGCGCCCTGGGAGTTGGGAGTCCCCCGCGGGCGGGCGAGCGGGCGGGGGCCTGAGGGGAGGGCGGCGGCGGCGGCGGCGGCCGGGGCGCCTCACCGATGGTGGAGATGAAGGTGGTGTTGAAGGCGTCCTCGCTGAAGCGGAAGAGCAGGCAGGTCTTGCCCACGCCCGAGTCGCCGATCAGAAGCAGCTTGAAGAGGTAGTCGTAGGTCTTCGCCATCTTCGCCGCCGCCGCCGACTGACGGGCTGGGGGGGAGGGGGAGCGGGCGGGGGGGGGGGCGCCAACGTGGGGCGGGGCCGGGACGCGGCGGCTCCCGCGGGATGACGGGAGTTGTGGTCCGAGGCGGCTCCCCAACCCCGCGCTGCGCATGCGCCACAGCCGAGAGGCGGGGCTCCCTAAGGGGCGGCCCGTTTCGCCACTGGGCAACTACTGAGCGAGCCCGAGCGGCGCGATTTCCTCCCAGCGCGGGGAGCCTCGCAGGCTTTGGCGGCGGAAGAGGCGGCCGCAGGCTCGGAGCCAGGGGTCTCCAACCGGGGCAACTGGAAGCCTGGAGGACTCCAACTCAAAGCTGGCTGGGGGATTCTGGGGGTTGGAGGTCCGCCTGGTTGGGGCCCCTGCTCTAAGCCCCGCTGCACGGGGGGCTCCCTAACCTCGCCAACTGGAAGACGGGGGCCCTTCGACGGCCAGCCTCCCCCAGCAGCATCTCACGGGCGCTGGGAAACTCCGCTTTAGCCCAGGCCAGAGCGGAAGAAGGTGCCCCAAGAGAAGATGGGGGGAAGGGGCTGCGTGGTACATTCCATGCTGGAAGACTCAACCGACCCCGGTGGGGGGAGCGGGACCCCCGCCTGATCTTCTCCAGGTTGAACTGCCCCTCCCCCCCCCCCGGGCCCGATTTGGGCTCAGCAGGTCCTGGATCCAGCAATCCGGGGGTAAGACTCGAGGGCGGCTCTCCTAACTGTATTTGGCGAGTGCAGACTTTGTTCCTATGATGCAATCATGCAGGTCAAATAGTTGCCACTTTGGCTTGCCAGGCTGTGATGCTTTTCATCTTTGGCTCCCTGCCACTCCTGGGAACATCTGCAGTGCCAGCTCCTTTTGAAATGAGTAACCAGCAAGGAAGGCTGTTTGGCTTATTGCAAAGACCCATTTATTTCAGCCAAGTACAGAAGAAATGCCTGCAGGCCCAGGGCTAAACAATGGCGCCTTTTGAGAAGCAGATATTTCTGATGTAGAGCAGTCTTGATGGATGGGTTGCTTCTTCCCCTTCTGAGCATGAATTCGTCACATCTTAAATTTTAACTCTCTTAGGATCCGGCTGCTTTGTTGTCTGGGGTCTGAGCTGGTTTTCTGAACGCAAGGTTGACCGTGCCGCAGATAAAAACAAAAGGGAATTAATGTTTTGAAATGAACATGACATTTCCTTTTTCTGAATCCATCGGCAAGGTACTTAATGCCTTCCCCCTTGGTCTTGTTACTCTGATGTAGCTACAAAGAGAAGCAACTTGGTCTCCCAGATTCCGTAATCTACATCCCCTACTAAAACAGCAGCTGGTTCAGTTGAAGAAACAGATAACACCAATTGAACAGTGCAAACATTATAAAGTGTTTATTGATTAACGGAAGCTGATCCGGTTTTTAAAAAATCTAAATACAATTTTACATTATCAGCAGCCAACATAAGCAAATGGTCGATCCCCCAAGTCAAACGGGGTTTAACTACCATTTGTCCAGCTTTTTAAAAGCAAGATGTGGGAAAATATGATTATTTGGCACTTCAACCAACACCACTAATAGATCATTCCATATTTCAAAGGTGGAATAGAATGTATTTCTCATTAACCACCCACTATGGAACAGAGGAGGAAAACAGATCATCATCTTCAAAATCTACCTTCTCTGCACTAGTTGCTGAATTAATCCCTTTAATTTTAATCCAAATCTTTACTGCAAGTCTAGCATTTATGCAAGACCAAGGTTGGGTCTTTGCTAAAAAGCCAAGACAAATTTCAGAGTAAAATTCACTGCCAAGATCATCCAAGTATTGGTTAGTTTTCCTAATTCCAAAATAATATAAAGGGAATTGACAGGTTTAATAAAACAGAAAACGGATAATGGATGCCTATATACAGTGCAATAAACCTCCAGGAAATTCTGGGATACAAAGTTTCTGAAAGAGAACCCCCTGTATGAGAGAGACAGCTTGAATACGAATTTGAAAGTGCAGAGTTTGATTTAAAAAATTCCCAGAGAAAAGGTCTTTAACTTGCATTTACCTGTCTGCTCAACAGTCCCCTTAACAGAGCTTAACACATATAAAATTGCAGCCTTTGTAAACAGCCCGGAAAAGTTTTAAAACGCTTGTTTTTATTGTCTGTTTTTGAGAAAAGGGAATCCAATATTAGATGGTCACAATCTGTTGCCTAAGCTGGCAGCAAGTTATTAAAAAAATAGTAACCCACCAAGCAGAATTCTAATGCCAGCACCTGCTCTGGGGCTTGAAGTTATCTTGGACAGCCGATTCCATGGAGTTGGCAGTGTGGTTTTCTGCATCAATTTCGCATATTGCTGGAGTGGCCTCCATCAGTGAGTGCCTTAGCCGTGAGGGGAAGCAGTTTTATTCACTGTTTGGCTGAAGATGTCTTCCAGGTGGGATCACCCTTGCAAAGGATTCTGGAGATCCAAACCTTGCCAGATGAGCAACAGCCCTCTCTGTTCAGGGCTGCAATTCTCCAAGAGCAAAACTTCTTCACTGCAGCACAAAACTCCCCATTCCCATTTTGAAAGCGAAGACTCTCTGCCTTTAGCTAAGAGAGCAAGGAGGTTTCCAAGCATCCATTCCGTGCTTCATAATTTGCAGAAGGGGAGGCAAACAGTCCGATTGGCACATGTATTTGGTTACTTGAATCAGAAAAACTCTCCATTCCTGCCCCCTCAATGAAGGACTGCTTATCCCACCAGTGATCAGACCTAATGCTGCACTACCCACTTAAAAAGCGAGGGAGGGGCAGGCCGCCTGGGCTACAGAGGCTTGTAATCATTCAACCTTCCATATTTCCTCTCCAACCGTTGATCAGAGCGTTGTGCTAACCTGTCCTTTTCAAATTCCTTAGCAATTTTTAAGGCAATGCCATCAAGGTGAACAGACTGCATGTTACAAATAATTGTGACGACCACGCCACGGGGTGGGGCCAGGCAGCTACCGCTGGGCGCCCCAGAACTCAATTCTTCAGGAAGGATGAGTAGGACGCTGCTTGCTCCCACCGCCCCGCCAGTGTGGAAGGCATAGTGTCGCTGCTCTTTGCAGTGGCCGCATTCCTGTTTCTTCTCTACGACGGCCCAGGCCATTCCATAGGCCCAATCACTCTCCTGGGAGACTCTTGTGCTTGGGACTGGGGTCCACATCGTTGCTATCGTCTCAGGCTTGAGATAACCAGGAAGAAGTCCAGCCGCTGGATTCTTCACCTGTCCAAGCTGGTAACTGTAGAGCATGGCATTTCCAAATTTGAGAAGGTCACCCACGGTGGACACGAAGCCACCCCCAGCCCACTTGTAAGAGTTATCCACATAGGGGGCGTTGACAAGGTGGCCTTTTTGGTTGTGAATATAAAACCTGGAGTGAAACAAGGATGCTCGATGAATTCACAGCATAAAGTAAACAATCCATATATTTGCTAGGCTAAAGCAACTTCCTGCCATTGGATTATTTCTGATGTATAGAGATTGACAGAATTCTCTGCCCAAATGGCCACTGGCAACCACATAAATCATACGAAACAGAAGTGCTGGCCAGTTAATGAGCAGCCTTCTAATGCTCTGGACAATCTCTGCCAGGTAGAGAAAAGCCATACCAACAATCTTGAAAAACCTCATCTATCCAACCTCACTTCACTCAACAAGGTAAACAGCATCCTGTCCTTTGAGACATCAGGTCCACAGGAAGGAGCGAGCCCATCCCAAGGCTGCCTCAGGAGGCAACATGCCAGCCAGGGGAATGTTGGAATAAGAGCTCTATATCAGATGTGCTCCATCCTCCTTCAAAAAAAGCAACTTGGAAGGTAAACCTCATTAATTAAGCAGAGTACCAACGCCATACAAATCTGAGATGACAGCCTCAGGACAAGAGTTTGTGTTTCAATGACCTATCGGGTTTCTCTTGAGCTCGGCAGCTGGGAAAAGCCATCCTGCAGCTCAAGAGATCTCTGAACCGATTCTCTCTTTTCCCTGGAGTGGATTGTGGGTCCCGAGAAGAGAGCCACAAGATGGCAGTGCTCTCTGGTGTTACGGGATTCCTTCACTGAAACAGATTTGCGACGACGGCTGTGATATTTATTTCCATGTATACCCATGATGTGCTTGACAGCCTTTCCAAAGAAACCTCCTAGAGACTCAGTTTGATTCCAAATCACCAAATGTCTGATGCACGTGAGCAGCCGTCCTTTTCAAACAACCCTTTTCCATACAAAAGAAGCCAGAAGAAGCCTGGCCACAGCCCCCTTCCTCTTTTCACACCCACCTGTTCGTGCAACGGGCCGCGTGGAACAAGGCTCACTTATTCAGTTGAAAGAAACGAGGAAAGATGGGGGACACACGCCTGGCTGCTTACCTTGCCCTGTTGTATATCAGAGGCTCATTCTCATCCAACCCCGTGGATCCCATGTCCAAGTCGCTAAATATCTTCAGCATGTAGTCGGTGAACTTCTGGTCTGAGGCTCTCTCCACCACAGCGCTCAGGAGAGTGAACCCGTGAGTCGAGTACAAAAACTGGCTACCTGGAAGGAAGCAAAAGAGAAGACAGCCCCCACTTCACACAAGAGTTTATGGTCGTGGAAGTCTGCTCAAGAAGGGACCTAGGTGTTCAGAGAGAAAGCATATCTTTGCATACTTTATAGCGTTTACAAGGGTGGGATTTTGTAATAGTTTAAAATATAGGGCTATGTATGAAAAGTCAACATAAATAAGTCGCTTTCTCTGTCTTCCGTATTTAACTTGCTACCTGAATTTCTATTATTTTTATTCGTAATTCAACTTCTTACAGGAAAACAAGACACTGCTCTTATATGGAGCCCCATCATGGTTTAGCTGAGCCCCGATTGGCTAGACCAGGGCTGTCAAACTCGTGGCCTGCGGGCTGGAAACTACTCTATGGCTTAGCACAAAGGGTAACGTGACTCCATTACCTACAGTCTGGATGGTTGCAGATTAGCAACTCACCTGGTTTAAAGAATAAAGGATCATTTTGAAAGATGCTCAGTGAGTCAATCACATGCTCAAATTTGTCCTTCAAATAATACTCTTCATGCTCAAACTCCCTTTTCTTCCTTCCACTTTTTGCATGTTTGCCTTCCTGTTCTGGCTTGCCTTTGGCCAAGTCCCTCTTTTCAGTGTCTTTGTCTTCTTTCTCCTTTGCAGCAGAAGCTGCAGTCCTTGTGGCTTTTCTGTTGGCCTTTTCTTTTTCTTCTTTGACTTTAGTAATATCCTTGTCATAGTGGCGAATACCGCTTAAATGTGATACAAGCAGCCTTGAGGTAATAGTGACCTAAATTTTTAAAAGACCCAAATTCATTTTGATGTCATCTATGTGAGTTATAATTAAATTAGGTTAATGACATATTTCCACTACAGGAGCGTGGCCAAGGAGATTTTTGGACGATGCTGCTGCAAACAGCCAGCCTTACCTTTTCACCTTCATATTCTTTTTCAGGAAATTCCGGAACATACTTCTGCACAGCAGCATCTAAATCCAGCTTCCCGTCTTCCCACAGCTTTGCAACAGCAACCATGGTCAGAGATTTGCTAATGCTGGCAATTCGTAGGACAGTCTCTGGACTGCAGAGCACACGGTTTTCCAGGTCAGCGTAACCTATACCTTTAAAGGAATCAGGAATCAATTATTTAAGGGTGTGCCCTATGCATTGAAACAGGCCAGACCCCCAATGGTCTAAATATCAAAGGGTCTTTTCCCCCCATAAGATCACGCAATGGTCGTATCTTCTTGGCCTAATAGTTTCCACAAGTAGAACAGCTCTGTGACCCAGTGAGAATCAGCACTTTATTCAGAGAATTAGCAAGAGGAAAGAAAGTCATCATATACTCTAAAGCAAGAACATCTGTGTCCCAGATGTTTCTATTTGTTCAATATGAACATACAGAAAAACACTAATTAACTCTGGGTGTTGTTTGTGAGGGGAAAAGAAGAAGAAGAAACATAATAGAAGACAAATGAATTATCTCATCCTAGGTCACCCATGGTACAAGTCAGACTTCCTCAAGCAAAACTAAGGGATGCCAGCTGCCTGGCAAGCCAAAGCAAGCATTGCAAAGCAGGACTGGCTTGACCTCAGCGGACTGGAATCTCCTGAGCAAGTCTTATTAGATCAATTAAATTCAGCTCACAAGCATTATACAAGGATGAACCATATGTAAGCTGAATGATTTTCAATACACTTTTTAATTGCACCATACGTAAAGAAAAATTAGAATTAGCATACAGACAGTAATTTAAATGTTGATTTGAAAAAGCATGCATATTATTAATAGAAGAGAGTAGAGAGGCAATTAAACTCTGAAAACACCACTGGAAGCTAGAAAGCCAAACACAGTCAACTGGCCAAATGTTTTCTCATTATGCAGGGCAAGTATGGCTGGAAACACTGCGCTTAATTATATTTCATTTTAAATATAACTTGTAAATAAAACACTTTTGTTCCAGTGCTCCTTTCGTTTCAAAGCAGTTTAGTTTAAGGTGCCTGTGATGTTTGCAGATTTTTCTAAAAGGTATTATTCTTTATCCTTCATATTTAATTTTCTGATGCCACCCCCATCCGAACTGGGCTGGGCGTTTTGCCAGGGAAGGGAACCCACCGACTCACCTTCCGACCAGACCTCTTTCCCGTCCACGGACACGCCAACCACCACGCCGGGGACCCCCACTTGGTCCTGGGGAGCAAAAGGTTCATTCAGCCCGAGACCGGCTCCAGCTTCCGTCTGACACCCCCCCATGTCCAGGCTTAGGGGGGAGGCGGCTGAGGGGCATCTAGGGGCGGTGTGTGTGCGCGCAAACTCGGCCCGAGCCTCCCTGCCTCCTCTGGGCCAAGACTCGGCACATGCTCAGAGGCCCTGCGCCCCCTCAAACAAGGCTTCGGGGCGAATAAGCGGCGCCTGGACAGCCGCACACCCTGCCCGTCAGGCCACTTTGGGGACTCTGTACATGCTCAGAGCACGTGCTCCCTACCCTCCAACCTTTAGCCGCTGGAGGAGGTCCCTGCTCCGGGCGACGGCGCGCTGGAAGGCCGCTTCTCTGGGCGGCGGCCGCTCCTCGTTGTCCCCCTCCGGCCGGGCTACGGCGGTCACCGCCAGGCCCAGCCCCACGCCCAGCCGCCACAAGGGCCACCCCGCGCGAGGTCCGCCGCCGCCGCTCCGGAAAGCGCCTCCAATGAGTGGCAGGGCGGCCCGCCGCGCCACTACGCCCCGCAGGAGCAGCCACATCGCGCCCCGCCGGCCGCCGGCCTCACGCTAGGCTCAGGCTCCGCGCCCGGCTAGGCCCGCGTTGCTAGGAGGCGGGCCAGGCGCGAGCAGCCGCTCCCCGAGCGAAGCCAGCCGCCCATTTCCGGGTGGAGCGCCCGCCCCCCGGAAGCGCGATCGAGCGCCGAGTGCATCGATCGGGGCCGGGCCGGGAGCGCCCCTGCTGGGCGGGCGGGGCGCGTGAAGGCCCCCGAAGGAGGCGGCGCTGCTCCGTGGGCGGGGGGCGTTGGGGGTGGGGGGGGAAGCCTGGGTCCAGGCGCTCAACCACTATTGCCTTAGTACTAGGGAGGATGCCAACTCCCAGAATCCCCCTCCTTTCTGGCCAGGGAATTCTGGGACCTGAAGTCCATGCCTACAAGCCAGGAGGGTTCAAAGTTCCCCTTCCTAGTCCAAGCTTGGGCTGCCCTTCGTAGGTGGAGCACATCGACCCTCCTCCTCCCCCACGTGGGGATCTCAGGAGCCGGAGTCCCGCCCTTCAAGGTTGTTTTTCCTGGGGCTGCTCCTCTTCGGACTTGGGGGGCTCCTGCCAACCCCTGAACTGCTCCATCACTCCCCCACAGAGCTCCAGAGAAAGGCCCCGCTGGGCATAGCAGGAGCCAAGAACGTCCCTTCTCCAGCTGAGTTAAAGTGGTTAGAATTGGGCCACTGGCTGGAAGGGCTTTGTGGGATATGCCAAGGCCCGCACGCAACTGGTGCTATTTAGCGACTGTTTGCAGTTACAACAGTGAGGAAAAAATCACTTTGTGACCAGTTCTTGCATGTATGACCTTGGCAGGTCAACAAAGGAAAGCTGAAGTCAGCTCATAAGCAATTACCATTTCACTTAGTGACTACTTCATTTAACCACCAAGAGTCAGTCCCAATTGTGGTTACTAAATACAGGACGGTCCGTGTTACCTGAAAACAAGCTGCATTTTAGCCCCTCCTTGGACAGGAGTGACTAAAACGTGAGCACAAAAGGCGCCCCAGAGAACCTGGTCTCAATTCCATTAAGTCCCCCTGCTTCACAGCCAGAAGCAACACGTCTTCTTCTGCATGGGTTCCACCCTTGGCCGGACCATCCTCGTCTCTGGAGCCCTTTCTGGGCTGTGTTGAGTTCACTGAACAGCCGGTTAAAATGAAGGGGAATCAAATGTCCCAGAGATACGCTTTTCTGCCCTTTTAGCCCAAAAATCAACAACGGAAGGAGCAATGACCTGTTGGGGGAGGAGGAGGAAAGCCCAGGAGGCCAGATACTTTGGCCGTTCACAATCACTCCCGTGAACTGGACCAGCGCAGAATCCAGGAAATGAAGGGGAATGCAATTCCAATTAAGTTTTAAACCCATCGACTTGGGCGCCAGGCCAGGCCAAATAATTTTCAATGTGCTATAAAATGCAGACCAGATGGGGCCCCTAGCACCATTTGTTGTTTTAACTCTCATTCCCACTTTCTCAATAAAGCAGAATCATTTATCATTTGCCAAAATTATCTCCAGTTTAGACAAAAGTCTGGTTTCATTTAGCAAAGTTTAACTTTGCACCGCATTGCAAGGAAAAGTAAACCCTAGAACTGGGTGTCCAACCTTTGCAACTTCTAAGACCTGTGGCTGGCTGGGTAATTCTGGGAGTTGAAGGCCACAGGTTTAAAGTTGCTAAGGTTGGACATCCCTGCCCTAAAATCGTAGGGTTCAAGGGCATAATCTAGACCAGTGTTCTCAAACTTGACAGCTTTCAGATGGGTAAACCAACTCCCAGAATTCCACCCATCGGGACATTGCCCAAGTTGAATCTGACCAGCAGGAATCCTTAAACCATCCCAGACAAATGACCAACTTTGGCCTGGAAACCTCCAGTGATGGAACCTCTCAGATAGCAGAATAAATATGAAAAGGCTACAACCATTGGTTTTTTATAAAAAAAAATGTTCTAGAGTGTGTGTTTTATTTCATTATCATCAATTATACAATGTTTACATATAGAAATGATTCTCCAAAACTGCTCAAAACGACACAAGGGAAAGGCGTGTTGAACAAACAGGTGGCAGACACCAAATTGCATTTGGTTCAGACAACATAAAAATTGCAGTGGGAAGCTCTCTGTGTAAGGTAAGGATGACTCCCAAGCGCAAACAGATCTCCGAAGCCGCCACAGAACCTTCTGCAGAACAAAATGCCACCGATGTTCGAAGTTTCTTTTCATGCTGAGTCTCAGGCCCCTCCAGGAGGAAAAAAAAAAGAGTTCCTAGGCTGGGCGAAGTGCTGAATTATCCAGGGAGGGGCTGGAGGGCGACATGGCTGCCTTTTCTTTCAAGACAAGGCAATCAAAATCCCCTCTCCCCTTCACCCTACGTCCCTGACTATTAAACTGAGGGAGATCTACCGTGGCAATCCTAACAAAAGAATATTCCCATTTTTGGGGAGCCTGCAGACAATTGGCGTTAACCGACTCCATCCAAAGCGTAGGCAACAGGAGTCCCAAGGAGGGCGCCCCATAGCTGGCAGAGATGCCCCCCATAACTCCTGCATCTTGTTCCCCATCTTAAATCTTTCCCCCAGTTCCAGTGCCTGGATAGAGAGGACAGGCCTGTGATGATTGCAGCAACATGGGGTGGGTGGGTAGCGGGAATGATAAAATAAGGACACATTTCAAGGGGTTTCATGGCAAGCAGGTGTTTTTTTTAAAAAAGAACTAGAAATGAAACTGATGTTGGCACCGTCCCAGCTAGGAGACGTATCACATGTTGTTTAACTCCAGTAGAGTTTGGTCCAGCATCTGATGCATATTGAAGTTTTCTTCTTTTGCATTGGCCACTTTCTCTGTTTTGGGTCAAAAAAGAATGAAAAGAAGTCATTTGGAGGCATCCTTTAATGGCAGGAAGGCAAACATCGCGGTGAAACACCTATGCATAGCGTCACTATGGCAGTCAAAATATTTGAATCAGAAAAGGGATAAAGCATCTTTTAGCCAGGCCACTGCCCCTAACTGATCTGGCCAAGGTAAGTGACAAACTTGTATTGGCGTATTTAAGACAGAACCCAGGCACCTTAAACACCTAAAGGAGTTGGTGATTTGTCAGTTATTGCTGTGGCAACTGGCTGACTCAACCCGTCTTCTAAAAAGAAAGAAAATCTGCCCTTCTTTTTCTATCACAAATTAAAAAAAGGAGGGGAGAGAGTTAAGTTCCAGCAGAAAGAAAAGAAAAATCCATGCATTAAAAATGCCGACAAAAGTATTTTGCAGTTTGACTCCACCAGGATTGCAGAAATGGTGGAACATGACAACGTGGAAAGTGAAGGAAAGAAGCAGCTATCTGTCTGCTAGGGAAATTTCAGATATTTTTCTGCTGCTAGGGAAAAGTAAAGCAGCTTTCACAATAGCCGTTAGTGTAAAGTCACATGCATATTGTGTAGGAAAGGCATTAAATACACGTCTGTGATGGGAGACAAAAGCACAAAAGCTTGAGATCCACATACAATCAACACAGCAACAGCAGCTTCGCAACAATGCAAATGTACCACAAAACTAGCAGAGGTTATCAACAAAAGGCCCCTTCTGCTGCTGAAAGTTGTTCTGACTACTTGGGCTGGGAAAGTGAGTCTTCAGATCTTATTCCTGAGCCCAACAGGAAGCAAACTTCGCCAAGATTCCGATTCCAGCATTTTCCCCAAGGCCAGAATTGCTAGTGAAACTCCCCCTTCCAAGGAGGCGGCTCCTTGGTCCCATTTTATCAAGCTATGACCAAGAGCGTAGCCCATCTTAAGGTTGAGAAGGAAAGGCCAAGCCTCGGTCCACCCAGCTTCAGCCCCACCCAGCAGCAGACACAGGTCTCTCGCATCATTCAACGGCAGGCGAGTCAAGACACATGGGTTAGGAGGTACGAGAGCTTAGTCCTCATTCAGGGCGAACTTCAGCTCATGAGTGAGACGCCGGTTCTGCTCAAGCTGTTGGTAGAGTTGGTCTGTGCAAGTCGGCAAGCGGACAGGAGGAGGAAAAAGGCAGAGAGAAGAGAAACGGTTAGAGAGGCAGGGTTAGCCCCGAAACGTCACTCCGTAGAGAGTCAGTTTAGTAAGAGATCAGAAACAGGTCAGACACACCAAGGCAGGAACTCTGTACCTCCTTCGATGTAGCGTCTCGGGAAGGAAGGGAGGGAGGAAGGACGGAAGGAAGGAAGCTCCACCATCAGTGGTGGGCCTTGTGTGGCTCAGCCCAGTGAGGAACCCATCTCTCCTAGCCAGAAGATGTCCACTCGTTTCCACTAGGGAGAGCGCTGGGCAGGTGCTGGTGGTGACCATAAGGCAGGGCCGGTCAGCTCCAGCAAGGGAGACAGCCGGGTCCTGGTCCAAGTGGAAGTTCCAGTCTTCTACTTCAAACTATCTCTGCCTCCCCATCCCTGGGAGCTCATACACCAGACCCCGCCTGCAATTCTCACGCGTGGCCCTTCCGAGCCTGGGTTCTAGGCAGGTGACTCTGGATAGTCCCGAGTCCCCAACCTGGTTCTTCTGGATTCTATAGGTGATGTGATGAGCAGGACCTCCAGAACTCCATGGTAGCCTTGAAGAAGCCTCAATTTGCAGAAGATGAATGGCAGGGCTGAGGTACGCCCCTCTTTTGGGCAGGGGGCAAGTAGCTTATGTGGGGGCAGCCGACAGGCCTGCTGCTGGGGTGAGCCACTCAGACACGGCCACTCAAGAGGCCTGGCGGTTGGGCCTCCAGAGCCAAGGGGATTCCCACCAGCCAGATGGAAGGAGGAGGAGGAGGGACCCAGGCCTTGCAAACCTCTTTGGGGCAGGGACTGACTAGCTTTTAACTAGGTCACAACCATCTCTACACTAACCTGGTTTTGGGTTGGTCAGAACCCAACTGTGGCTTACTGATGGAGGCAGAACTGCCTGGGCTGAGCCCCAGCCCAGCCCAGCCCACTTCAGCCTGCAGCGATCTCAGAGTGGCCCTCCACCAGGTGTGCATTCCCCATGGCAGCCCTTTCTCCTCAGCCCAAGCCATCCGCCCCAGCTTCCGCTCTTGCCCCGGCTGCACCCTCCGTGCC